ATAAATAGTCCAGGGCAATGTTGCAAGGAGGAAAAACTGACTCATTGGCAACAGCGAAGCCCACCTTGCCCGCAATAAAATTAGAAATTTATCCAGTTGTGAAGAGCAGAATTAGCAAACTTTCTTCCAGGCAAGTAAAACAGTCGGGGGTTGGTGGAGAATGGGCTTGTTTTTGGTAGGGATTTAATGAGTGCTAACATGGGAAATCTTTGTGATTTACACCAATGAATTGTAAGATTTTATATTACCTGTCAAATGCCTCCTCTCTACTAATTTGCTTTGAGCAGAAGAGATGAATCTATTCAGTTTAGAAATGTACTCCACATTCCAATAGAAAAATAAACAATTTCGCGTCTTTATCTAAAACGATTAAAGTATTTAAGCACATTTTCATTGAATTTGAATGCAAGTACACCATGGTTTTAACGAATCAACTCCCACTTTCACACTGTATTCTCCTGTATTTATAATAAGTAAAAAATGGGCTTATTACATGATTGCTGATTTCGCTACATAAACTCAGATGCAACTTTGAAATTGTTGCCTGTAAGAGCCTAGTCAATGTTGTAGTCAAGGCAACATCATCCTGACTGTCCTGGTTGGGAAGGGGTAGGGAAGAAGCTGAAAAACAATGGGGACATACAACACGGAAGTGATGGTGTCTGGAGTCTTTCCAGTTGTGTGTGTGTGTGTATTGCATTTAAATTGTATGGCTTCCATCTTTAAACATTACACATTTAATTTTATTTAATTTATTTAATTTTATCAATTGATTTGCACTGTCACCGATATTTCCTTTTTTATTTGAGAAATGACACCAATTCTGAGCCCAATTATGTTGTTTTATAGATATAAATATTTCCAAAAATGGAATACACAGCAGTTCATGTATGGATATTAATATGGGCAGGAGAGGCTTTTGATTACTTACTAGGTGAAGCAATTTCACAACGTACTGTTTCTACTAGCCCATCATAGAAAATTGGGTATATCACCCCCATTAGAAATTTGACACTGCCCTATAATTATGCTTTCTATATTTTAATGCTTCTTTGTTAACATTACCTACTTTATCTTTGGGTAGATGAAATATGTCCACTTGCTTATCTCTGACTTGCAAGATTAACACCTTGTTTTAAAGATAGTCTGAAATGATTATCTCAAAGCATTAAAATTCTTTTTCCCTAATTATGCCAACAATAACTGCTTACTTCCTCTGGTGGATGTCAAGGGATTTAGTGAGGATGACGTCCTCATCTTTGCTAGTCTCTTGCATATCCTGCAAAATATCAACCTGGAAATTAAGATTTCCTTTTAAAAATAAGACACTTGTTACATCTGCATATTTATATTACTTTTGTTCCCATAATTATGCTCAATTACTTGCTTTGCCTCTTTATTGGATGGTGATTTGCAGGTTTATATTTTGTGTCGTATTTATCCTACAATTTTAGATAGTCGAAGTGACTATAGCCACCTTTTTTTCAGTCATGGCTTCTAGATGAAGAACGAATTATTTATTCATCTCCTAGCTTTTCAGAATACATTTGTGCTTTGCTGGAAAACAGTCTGAAGTAGTAAATTTTCTAAGAATTGCAAATTCAAAACTGACCTTATCTTGCATTCTGAAAATAATAAGGCCTTAGCTGGAGATATAATAGTTAAGTGTGTGTGCATCAGAGATGCTTTCACGCCCGGGCAATAAAAATCACATTCACGGCGCTTCTTTTTCTCCTCTAGCAAGAAAAAAGTCTGGAGCGATGTAGCTGATTGGGATTCAGACACCAGTGCAGGGCTGCTGCCCCATCCGTCACCGCATCCATAGGAAGGCACAGCGATGGTCCCCAAGGAGGCCCGCCTGCTGCTCCCTGGGGCCTGCTGTTAGTTTACACGGAAGGGATGGAAGTTGGAAACCAGCTCCCCTCATGTGGGCAGATGGCCCCATTATCCAGGGGACTCCTTCTAACTCCGAGATCTTTAAAGTGGAAAGGGAGGCAGAGTCACGGGATGGTGGCAGGAGGACTCAGCCCAGCACTGCTGGCTTTGAGCACAGAAAGGCCCACGAATCAGTGCAGTGGCTTCTAGAGGCCACGCACTGAGAGGCAAAGAATCAAATTGTATCTGGAAACTGTGGAACACGGCCCTGCCCTCCCCTTGGTTTCAGCGGTGTGAGACCTGCCTAGGGCTTCTGACAGCATGAGATGACGAGCCGTGAGATAACGACTTGTGTGGTCTCCAGCTAGTACGTTTGCTGTGGGATTGACAGGAACCAGTGCAGCGTCCAAGGGGCTACGCTAAAGCAGGACAGATGGCAAAGGGCCGAGCTAGGACAATGTGCGTCCTGTCACCAGAGACCCAGAAGCTTTCTCAGACACACACCCAGCAGATTTCTATGTGCTCCTCCTGAACCAGAATCAGGTCTTTTACCTAAGCTAAGTGCAACAAAGGCCAGGAGGAGCAATTGGTATTTCAGCCTCACCATGGGTTAGCCTGGAAGAGAGCTCAGCGCGGCTTTGGAGGAGCTGCTCAAGAGCACTGTGATCCACTCTCTTCTGAGAACTCCAACGTGTCCTCCTCTATGTTCCCCCAATGGAAATAAGAATGTGTGTGGCTCTAACTCTTGTGAAAAATAAACTCTGTTACCTGGGTGTGGTGGTGCACGCCTGTAAACCCAACACTCAGGAGGCTGAGGCAGGAGGATTTCTGTGAGTTCCAGGGCAACCTGGGCTACAAAGTCATTTCAATACCAGGCTGAACTGCTGCGCAAGACCCTGTCTTACAAAGATTAAAAAAAAAAAAAGAAAAGGTAAACTCTGTGAGTGCCTCTGTGTGTCCATTTGTTGTGATTAAAAACGTTATTTAATGGGAAGCATTAACTCCTGCTTATTAATTTTACTCAGAAGTTAAAATCTGTCAATATGTGCATGTATGTGTGTATTTTTTTTTTTTTTCTTGGTACCAGGAATCAAACTCAGGACTCCACACTTGCCAGGCAGGTGCTGTGCCACTGAGCTATATCCCCAGCCATATATAAACATATACATATATATATATATACAGAGAGAGAGGGGAGGGGTGGAGTCTCCCTCTGTAATTCTGGCCTTCCTGGAACTCAAGGTAATCTTTATGCCTCAGCCTCTCAAGGGCTGGAATGACAGGCATGCACCACCATGGCCAGCAATGTCGAAATTTTTGATTGCATGACTTTTTTCAGTTAATTGAACAAATGTCTTTAATTTTGTTTCCTCTCTTATGTATTTGATATTTCTTCATATTCTATAACTACTGTTATTTCAAAATGAGGATTTCATGTTTTGTTTTCCAGACTTTCCCCTCCTCTGTTACTCACAAAGGAAGCCATCCAGGTCTCAGCTCTCCAGTGACTCCCGGTGCATCTGCTGTTTCCGTAGCTTGTCCTGAGTGATCCTTTTTGTTTTTCTGCGTGACCGAGATTTTCTTTTGGCACTGAGTTCTCTTTACTCACTTTTCCCTCTTGCCGTCTCAACCTTGGAAATAGTTTCTGAATTTGCTTTTCACTTATTAAAAATACAAAGTGAAGAATTTTCTCCTAAACACATTTATCATCGCTCATTTTCCACTTTGTCTCAGGTAGATGCCAGGCTCCCCTGTTCGGCACTCACTCCTGACGGTGAGCTGCTCCCCTGAGTTCATGGAGCTGAGATTCGGAAGCAGTAGCTCCTCTGAGCCCACCGGAATGTATACGGAAACGCGCGATCTCAGATGCAAGACTGACGGGGAGCTGTTTCCGCAGGAAACGTTACTGCTGCCTGTAGAGAGCGAAGGCAGATCCCACGGTGAGCAGATCCCCCTCTGGCTGGGGAGATGGACGCGTTCAGGTCGCGCTACCGGATCACAGCCCCAGGAGAACAGCGCACTGACTGGAAAGGCCTTGGACCGCCAGCTCCGCGTGAGCCACCAACCCACCTCCTCTCGGGACCGGAAGGGCTCGGACAAAGACGAGGGAAGGGGCAGAGGAGATGCGGAGCACGCATCAGTCCTGTGCTGCGCGGGAGCTGCCCCACATCTCATGAAAATCAGAATGTTTTCACCTCATTGTTTCTGAGCAGCGGCAGAGAACTGGAGAGGAGGGTCACACTCACTTTAGGGGGAGAAGCTTCCTACCTTTTCCACTCATGCACTGACTTTAGGGAGTCATCTTTGAGCATTAAAAGTGTGTATTAAAATGATACTTTGGAGGAAAAATATCAATAAGGACGTCCCTGTAAAAGCTTCCATCTTGGCTGATTTCATGAAAAGATTTAGGTAACTCATCATTTTATTTCTTTTGTGGCCAAGCCTGCTGGTGGCCTGTCCAATACTTTTTCTTGCCCCCTCTCCTCCTATGGAGCTTTCATCTTATTTGGTGCAGTGGGGAAATCAAGTGTCTTCCAGGGAGAGTGGTCACATGACACAGTCCTGGCCCATGAGATTAGACAGAAGTCACTGGGCGGAGCTTCCCAGAGATTCTGGAAACAGGGAACTCAGCTGCAGTAGCTCCTCAGTCCAGTTCCTTTCTTTACCTGCCCGAAGTTAATAAACGTTATACTTAGAGCTCAGGCTCATATTCTGTGAATGTGAAAACATGTATTCTGGTCTCGTTGTAAGATGGTCTCTGGTTGACCTGGGGCCTTTACAACATCCTCTGCTTCCCTATGATCCCTAAACTACCCTTGTACAGCTTTCCTGTTCCAATCCTCTGCAGGGGACCCTGGGATAATATTCTGCTCTCCAAGGAGGGCCCTGTCCTGCCCCGATGCCTCTGGATGCCCATTTACTGACATTTGGTTAAGGTGAGAGGAGATGAAGATTATAATGGGTAAACAGTGAAGGTCATAATCCAAGCTGTCAGTCACCACTGGTTCATAAATAAGCCCAAGTCCACGTTTGTCTTTAAGCCAAGCAGAGCCACAGGAGAACAGTCGAGGAATTTCTGACTACGGAAAAAAAAGTTTCATGAAATAAATAATCATTGACACTTTTATTGGTGATATATTGGTAAGGCACCAAAGCCTCAGCTTTGGAAATCGGATATCTCCAGACCCGAGGGTCTCAAGACAGCTCAGGGGAGGGCCTGGGCCCCTGTGAGGGTCACACAGGGAGGTGTAACTTATGTTTGAAATGAGATCCCTAAGCAAGGAAGTTCTTCTATTGCTTTTGCCTAGATTTTTATCCCTGAAATTTCTTGTAAAGTTAATAACATAAACTTGGTTCAGCTGTTCCAAGGGGAAAGTAAGGAAGGAGAAAATTGGATATCCTCAGGGAGTTATACATATTAGAGACACCAAAGCCCAAGAAGGAGGCAAAAACAGAAAAAAAGAGGTACAACCAATCAAGGAGCTAGCATACCTGCATGGAATTTTTTATTCTGGAGAGCCTTTGGCCTACAAATTTACATCACACACTGCATATGCTGGAAACAGCTGATTTCTGTGAAAGACAACGTTTATAAACTCCTGCCTTTGGCACGGAACTACTTTAAATATTATAGTTTTTCCTTTAAAAACATTTCCAAGCACCTGATATGTGCCAGATATTAAACAAGTTATGGTCAAGATTTATACTCAGCTTTGGAAAAGGATTCATTACTTTGCCTTTCATAGCTGTAGACTGCGGCATAAGTCACGGTGCGTTCTGTGCTTCCCGCCCACCAGGAAGCTTGGTTTGGCCACACAGATTAGGATCCCAGGCCAACTGTGGTCGCAAAATAAACCCTTTTCCACCCTGAGTAAAACGGCATTTTCTTTGCAAACTAGATGTCTCTCAAATTTTATTAACAGGATAAAAATAACTGATTACATAAGCCTGGGCAAGAAACCCTTAATTTCATTTTAGAGTTCTCTACTATGACACGTGCCCTACAATAGAAAGAAACACAGATTGTTTCACATTACCTGACATGCTGCAAATTACTACTGGAAATTTAGACTTTCAGGGAGATACAGGTATGTTTCGGTTTGGTACATTTATTTCAATATAATTTAATTCTGTTCTAACTTTGTTTCTTAAAAAATATCAAAATACCCATAGATTTCCAGCAATTCAGGCTTGTTCTTCTACATCGAGGGGGTTCTGGGGTGTGGAGGGCTTGCTTAGCATGTTCGAGGTCCTGGGTGCAAGCCAGTGTGTGTGTGTGTGTGTGTGTGTGTGTGTGTGTAAACACAAAACCATGAGTTATGTAATGCTGCACACAATGTAAATTCAGGCTTCTGCAGCAAGACTTTGAAGGCTTTGCTGCCCACTGTTGAAATCTTGAAGACAGTGCTCTGCCAGAGCTTCAAAACCATGGGAAAAACAAAGTCAGAGTTACCCCACGGTGCAACAGGCATTATTCACAGGCTCCAAAGGCAGAATCGTTGAACTCCACCAGGCTTACTAACTGACTCGCATTAACGGTGAACAACCCTCTGGTCAAGTGGAGACTCATTCAGTAGCCTTTATCTTTCTATCAAGCATCCAGTCAATTCATTTCAAGCCTGTCGATCTCTCAGGGCGCCTTTGGATGAGTTTCCTTGCTTTGCTTGTTGTGCTGCTGGGCTCACAGACTCTTTCACAATGTCCCAGGTTCCTAAATGCTTCATAAGCACGACTGAGCCGCGCCGAACCTCTGCAGCCTGTGCCTTCACAAGCCTGTGTCCCAGCAAGTCAAAGCAGCAGGAGAGTGAGCTGGCACAGGGTGATAGGGGCAGAAAAGGGGGCAAGAGGATTGCACCGGTGCTGCGTTCCCAGACAGAGCCAGCAGGCGGTAGCAACACCCCGGGGAAGGCCCCAGCCAGCCTCGCAGGCCGAACAATAGCCCCCCAGCCCAGTCCCGGGTTGCACAGCAGGTTCAGGCGGGCGCTGACTTTTTTCCTCCCCTGGTTTCAGCCCTACCTCCAGGCCCCTTCTGAGCGCACTTTCCACCGCCTCTCATCACCGGGGGCCTGGGGTCCCTTGCAGCGCGGGCAGGGAGGAGGCCGCCTGCGGTGCAGCGACCTGCCCCAGCCAGCCAGACCCGGCAC